GATAGTTATGTCAATTGTAATCCCTGTAATGATGCTGTAAGATGTCCTTTTGTTGTTCTGTTTATGTTTTTTTATGTTTCATGTGGAACCTACTTGAGCAGGTCTCCCTTGAAAAAGAGATCAATGATCTCAATGGGATACACCTAGTAAAAAAAAAAAGGCCTTGTTGCCATTTTAAGCGACACTATCTGCTTCCTCTCAGCGTTCATACCTTACATCCCCTGTGGGCAGCTTGTTGACCAAAGTGTTTACATAGCATCCATGCCTGCCTAATCCAAGTTTTGCATATGATTACACCTGACCGAAACCTGACCTACTGATATTCCACCACTGCAAATGTAATGTAATGTAATGTAATGCAAATGGTGCAAATTATTCTCCTGCAATCTCAACTGAAATTAAGCTTAAAATGTCATGAATTCCATGGATTCTTGAAGTTTGTCAACCACATATGGCAATATCTTTGAATATAACAAGACTCTGTGAAACATTTCATGCCTGCCGAGCATTGGAAATTACAATTTCACAAATTAAAATCAGCATAATCAGTCATTTTATGAACCACTTTGGTAAGGCATCTCCCTCCATGTGATGTTCCCTCCCGGCGGCCGCAGCTTTGCACGCCGTTCAGAAGACCAACGTGTTCAGCCAAACGACAAACAGCGGGTTCACATTCACTCACTCGGCCACCAGTGCAAGAGGGAAAAGTGAAGCAATAAATTAAATAACCTATATCTAATTTTTTTTCATTTTATGCAGATCTTCTTATGTGTATGTGTGATTATTTCCCTCTGCGGCTCTGTGTTGTCATTGGGGACCGAGGCTGTCGAGTCTGCCAAAGACCCATTCTCTGTCTGCACATAGCCAGTGTTATGCAACTGCTAATTACTTCCACTCAGCCCGAGAAAACGATGGAGAGAAAGAGGGAGAGAGAAAGGAACAAGAGAGGGAGTGAGTAATTAAATAACAGGGACGGCCAAAGAAGGCAAGAGGAAAGTCAGAAGGGCAGCAAGTGGAGAAAGAGAGAAACATGAGAGGAAAAAGAGACAGAGGAGTATGAGGTAAAGTAGGTAAAAAACAGAAAGAAAGTGGATAAGCAACGGGAGACAGAGAGAGGAGGAGAGTGAGACTCTCTTGCAGTGTTTTGATAAGAAGAGGCAAAAAAAAAACATCAAATCATAATGACCTCTTCACCATCCGCCTATATAGTTTACTGAAAATCATACCGCAGCAGCCAAATTGGTCCAAAGAGAGAGAAAGAGAGAGAGAGAGAAATGTTAAAGAGGAGTGTTGTCAAAACCAGACAGGGCCTGCAGCCCTTTTCCTCTCCAACAATTTTTGGAGATGATGTCATTATTCATAGAAAAATAAAAAGTAGAAAAAAAAGTAAGAGGAAAAGGTGGGAGTTTAAGGAAGGGAGCCAGGGAAAGAAAGAAATGTAGAGCAGAAGACATAGACAAGAGAGGAACAATAAAGGAAACAGGATAGGAGGGTTGAAGGAGTACAGAAATAGCTAAAACTCCTAATTTTACCCGCATTTTTTTGGTTTACAAAATATGTCAGTGTAAGCAACATTTAGAAATGAAATCAGCGTCATTACTTATGTGAAGCTGACCGTTGAGCAAGGAGGCAGAGAGTTCAAATACAACCCGGTGTGGGCATTTATTCCTCTTTGTGGTACATGATACACAGCCTCAATATGACTGTCTCACGTGAACACAGTCACCAGCAACAAGGATCTCACACTCACACATTAACAGGGTAACGGCACCTAAATACACACAGGACTAATCAAACCAACAAGACACAGGTGGGGGGGGAGGAGACAACACAGGGCACCAGGTGAACACAATCACCAGCAACAGACAAGACGGGAGGGGGAACACTTTTCAAACTAAAACAGGAAACAGAGACAGACAAACTCAAACACAGATCGCGACAAACAGATGCACAAATTACATACAACCACACGCTTCCTGTGCAACGTTCCAGGGCGGAACAAATCAATACACTTCGCCAACAACGAAGCTATACAATCCGTAACGGAGGCCGAGATATATGGCCCCAAAGATCACCTCCATTACAACTTTTTATTATAACTAATCGAAACATTGATTTCCAGGGTTTTAGAGGTGCTAGTTAGCCAATGTAGTTACGATTTAACAGATCAAGGTTAGCTCTTTCCACTTTTTCCAGTCTTTGTGCTAAGTTATGCTAAGAGGCTAACAGGGCTGCTTATATTAACACATGTGAGAGCCGTTTCAACATCCTCACAAAAGCTTTGCACCAATGAGAGCCCCTTGTTTTTTTTAAATGGATAGAGTGAGCCCAACCCTGTCCAAGTCCAGCCTTGTGGCACCGCCATGGCCTCTGCACACTGCTCTGATTTTATGCCATCACACTGCACTGAAAGTCTTGCCTCACTTCTTCTGTCCCGCCATACTATGTGTAGTTTTGTACCGGATATCTCAACATCCTGTTATAACACAATGGATCAAAACTACTGTGCAATATTATATCCATGGAGCCCTAGGCCTTGAGAGACAGCAGTTCTGAGCAGAATGCTTTGGACTTGTAACGTAACTTTTATATTTTGTTCCTCTGCAAAACATCCTTACTGTCATGCTCAGCAGCAGCTGTTTTTGTTACCCTTCTCTCCAATGCAATTAATTTGAAATGTGACCTTTTATGGCAGTTTTGTGATATTTTCATTAAATCTTCATCCATGTTAAGCATTGGAATAAGGTTTCCTATGAATAATTCCCAACCACAGGAGATCGTACTGGTAAAACCACGGAAGTCTCAAACATTGCTGGTGATTTTAGCCCAAACATATCAAAAGGAGAGAGTGAGTGGAAGGAGAAGCATGGCTTTCAGATGACACACGACAGGAAAAAGATGAACAAATCGTTGTCAGGGACATTGACAGAGACCATCAGCTCAGTCACACTTAGACTCACCCCTCTTGTCCTCTATCTCGCCATCTATCCATCATCACTCCATTTCAGCATCACTGTAAATCACTTCATCACCCTATCAGTATCACATGTAAGATAATATATTAGCCCCCATTCATCCATCTATCCTTATCTATCTCTGCCATTGCTCTTTCTCTCCCTATCTGCTCATCTATCTCCCTGCCTTCAGGCTCTCTTCAATCTGTTAGCTCCATAATGTTTGTGTGAGTGTGTGTGTGTGTGTCTCACACTATGTGTATCTGCTGAGATATTAACCTATTAGACAATGTAAACAGAAAGGGAGACACATTTATCAGAGATGATACAGAGTTCTTATGTATTTTCATCTATAATATGTATTACTCTTTCCTTCTGCCATCATTAAGACTGGAAGAAAGCCATTCTCTGTTCTGTCTTTGTAAACTGCACTTTATTTGTTTAAAACTGTGAGCTTCTTGTCAAGTCAAAGTTGAATTTCAGGTCCCTTAGTTTCTTCATTACCCAAGCAACATCATTTTGCGGCATAAGATTTGATAAATGTTTTATTACGAAGTGTTATTTCATGTGATGGTTAGTAACTTGTGCATGAAACAATCACCAACCAGACACTTTTGATGAATCTAAAACATCTAATTAGCTCATTTTATTGTATTGTCTTTCACATATTTAATATATGTATAACTTTCTGCAACACAGTGACTCTGATTCTTGGATTGATTTGGAAAAAGGGACAAAAAGCACAAATTGGCTCCAAAAACACGAAGAAGTGGAGGAAAGGCTTTGAACTCCAGTCAAGAGTATGAACTAGAAGAATGTGATTTTAACTCTGACACATTAAAAGAGTATTACTCTTACAGCTGTTCGGCTGTTTCACATGCAACTAAATGTCACTTGCTATGAAATCTTTGTTTAAGAAATAAATGTTTTATTTACTTAGTCTTTTTTGTTGAAAATGAATCTACCTACACATCTGCTTTTCCTAAATCAGGGTTAAAAAATTATAATTACTGGATACAGAACATTTGACCAGATCTCACATGACTTGATGATTTGTCTCCCATAGAGCATACGTGTGTTTGTGTATGTGTGTGGCCTCTCAGTATGACATGTCTGTTTAACAGGCATTACTAGGCAGTCTGAGCATTTTCATTAGTTCCTAGAACGCCAAACAAACCACATGGGTATGTGAAGCAGCTGCAGTACTAGAGAGCTACAACAAGCTGGCCGGGCGAGAGAGAGAGAGAGAGCATGCCCAGACTAATCTACAGTGTGAGGGAATATAAGTGGGTCGAAGTGCATGTCTGCACACATCTGCCCACCAGCTTGCTTGTGTGTGTGTGTGTGTGTGTGTGTGTGTGTGTGTGTGTGTGTGTGTGTGTGTGTGTGTGTGTGTGTGTGTGTGTGTTTCATTCCCTGCAGTTACATCAAAACCTGCTCACTACAGTGTGTGTTTGTGTACAAATAAGAGTCAAAAGCAGAAGATCTCAGTTTGAGTCCCTGTTGACTTTTTTGTGAAGTTGTGTTTATGTACATGCAGTCCATAAACACATATACTGTTTCATGCAAATAAGTGTAATTACAAGCTGTTCCTTATGTAAAGAGTTCCCACAAGTTGTTACAATTCAATGCCAATGTGAAATTTAAAAAAAAATGTTGATACAACAGCTGTATTTCTTGAAAAAAAATACAAAACCATTCCTTGTGGTATCTCAGCACACTCAATTTGTCACATTCTTTAAGATCACTTGAGCAAATTAAATTTGCACGGTTGTATAAACTAGAATCTCAAATTTCATAAGTTCCCACAAGTTCATTGACAATTTGGAAATGTTCCAAAACAACTATTAGTCATGGCAAACAACAAGTTCAAATCTCATAACCCTTCAGGAGGAACTCTGTAACCGTGGGAACCCTGCCAGTGTGTTCACATATTGACATCATGTCTCTGCAGCCAGAGGTTGAGCTAATAGTGAACCACTAATAAAAACAGATCACAACCTTTTTTCCTCGTTTACTTCATGGTTGTTTGTGTGTGTGTCCTACCTGACAACAGGCTCTGGGATGGCCTCCAGGCTGGCAGGGACCTGCACCCCCTTCTCCCACTCCTGTCTCCACGGGTCCGAGAGCACGTAGAAATCACCCGGGCCGAGCTGGGCCGAGTCCGGCACCTTCATGGCCGTGATGAAGTCGGTACGAAATACCTGCATACAGAAAAAAACATAAGAGGAGAGGGGAAGATAGAAAAGTTTGGTTAAATGGTCAAAAACAGTGAAGATGTCCTGTATACAGTAACACGCCTGCTTGGGTTTTCAGAGAATAGCTGCAAAGATTCATTATTTGAACAATTTGTTATCAAATATGTAATTAATCCACAACTATATGAAAATTGATGAATCAGTTTGCCTAATCTTTTAAGAAGTCAACATTTTCTGAATCTTTAAAGGTCCCATGACATGGCCATTTCTACTGATCATAATTCCATTGTTGAGGTCTACTAGAATAGATTTACATTTTTCCATTTTCCAAACTCACATTGCATCTTACAGCATCTCTGTATAGTATGCTATGTATACAGGAAACATATACATCTTTCAGGTCTGCCTATATGATTGCCAAAAAAATAAATAAATAGGGCTCCCCCGAAAGCAAATGGGTAATTCGAACACTGGCTATTCACTCTCTGTCCTAAACGGTTTGTTGGAGCCCACTGTGCTCTGATGTGTCTATATGTGTTACAATGGCATTTGTTAGCAACCAGAAAATGACACCAGCAATGACAAACAGATGAGAATGCTGCGTGGGATCTGGGTGCCGTGTTGGCGGGACATTGCGGGGCTCTCTGCTGCGAGGAGCGGACAGTGTGAGCTGGATTACTGGTGTTGTTTCCTGGCTGCTGCGTGGGGTCTGCGAGACAGCGAGACACAGCGAAACCCAGCCAGAACCCAGCCCGAGCACACACACACACACACACCCGCAGCCTGGCTGTGAGTCTGTGTGTGCACACACACACACACACACACACACCCACCCGCAGCCTCCCCGCGTCCGGCCGTCTCAGACTGAGAAATCCGCAGATTGGTCCAAACGTAACGGCTCCGTGCACATAACGTAACTATACCCAATACGTCACTGTACCCAGGAAGAAAAAGAGAAATCTCCAACGAGGCGTTCTGGGGCAGCATAGACAGGTATTTTCTGTGTTAGAGTTGTACTCGCTACAAGGTGTACTTTGAGGGTTTGTGACTTTGCAGACCGTTTACATGCAGAAAAAGCTACATAACACACAAGGGGACGGGTAATAACCGGAAAAGCATGACATGGGACCTTTAAAATATTAATATTTTCTGGTTTCTTTAATTCACTTCAACAGTAAGCGCAATATATTAGTTGTGGACAAAACAAGATTTTAGACCCCCGATTTGAGACATTTTATAGGCAAAGCAAAAACAATTGTTAAACTGAGAACATATTGACCAATCACCACCAGCCACTTTATAAGGGGTTAATGACAAAAAACAAACTTGATCCTGCATTATTCCATAGTTCATGTTAAACATGAATCCACTATAACCTCAGAATGATGCATTTTTGTATTCTGCCTGAATTGCTGCTTGACACTAAGCGTCGGTGTAACATTGGAGGTGACGAATAAATGGAACAGATGTGGAAAAGCTCTGAGTAGCATTCATCTGGCAAAGCCTTAATCCCCTCATTGTGGGGTGTTGACTAGATCCATATCTAAGGCTTGCTTAGGTAATAAGTCATTGCCTCGGTTCGATTGAGTGGTTTTCATCTGCGGTGTTCCTGACCTTTATGCAAATGTGTCTGTTTTCTTTTGGGGGGTTTGTCTGTCATCGTCTCATGGCTTTAGATGATGCTGAAGGGTTAGGATGTCTCATTTTATTGCAAAAGTGTAACCTCTATCCTCGCATATCTTTCAATATCATCATCATTTTCTTCAGATCTTATATGAAGGGGACTAGGATGTGAGGAAAAGACACAAGTGAGGAGACTCCAGAGACAAATGAGGCCAACAACCTACTGCCAGAGGAAGTGGAGCGATGAAGAGGAAGGAGGAAGTAGCAAGTGGATAAGCTGAAGTGCTGGTCACGGTCACCATTAAACAAATTGTTGATGTTAATCTGGAGACCTATACAGGTTCAAATACTGTATACACTGTATATAATGATAGCAAATTGAGTATGTAGGAGGATTGGATAGAAACAAACAAGATGGGTTTGTGTGTGAGGCAGCGTTTTGATGACCTGAGGGAGTGTGTGTATTCAAGCAGACACAATCATTCTCACACATAATGTGAGCATACACACTTCTATCACACACACACACACACACACACACACACACACACACACACACACACACACACACACACACACACACACACACACACACACACACACACACACACACACACACACACACACACACACACACACACTGTCTGTCTGTCTGTCTGTCTGTCTGCTCTAACTGGGACCTAAAGCAATGATATTATCAGTCATATAGTCAAGGACATCTGCCAAGAACACACACAGCACACACACAAAAACAAGCAACACACAGAGAGGGAAACAAGCAACACACACAATGGTGCCAAATCAACCGTATGACTTCACTTTACATTTTATCATTAAATCTTAAGCCTCCTTATCCCTGCTTTATGCTCTTCTCCGCCATCCGACTCCCTTGCTCCCTCCCTGTCTCTCCATTAACCTCTCCCTCGCTCCCTGACCTAACTTACACAAAGAAGACAAATAGTCAAAGGGATTTCTAAGAAGACAAACACGGTAATAAGAGAGAAATAGAAGAGGGGGCGCGGTGAGGGGGCGGAATTAAAGGAGCTTTTGTGAAGAAAGACCCACCAACCGAATTTTTCTAAACCTAATGTGAGAAATTCAACATTGTTCTCTAGAAATGTTCTTTGCTGAATGACACATTTCTCTATGCATTATTATTAAAGGTTTTAAAGAATATTTGAGTCTGTTAGGGTCAAATGTTTGTTGTACAAAACTAAGAAGAACACTAAATGGTAATGTCATTCGTTGTGCAGATATTTGTTCATTATCAAAAAAAATAAGAAAGATTTTACATTTGACTTGATGGTGGCATGTTATTAATACTGATATAGACCTAAATAAACTGTAAAAAATGTCATGTTTATGCATCCAATAGCGGTTGAGACATTTCACTCAAAACTAGAAAAAGGTCTACCTTGTGTTGGCACTTGTGAAAAAATGAAAAAGATTAACAAAGTCCAGTGTTTCCCCTATCTACAAATAGTGGCGGCGCAGCGCCGCTGCAGAGATATGCGCGGCGCGCCGCTGCTGGGTGGCGCCAGCCAGGTACCAGGTGATTGTTTGTTATGTGGATTTGTAGTATTTGTGTTACTGTATGTTCAATAAAGGTGTATTTTTGCTAAATCTTGAGACATTGCCACTGTATGTACTAGGCAGAGAAGATTTTTGGCATAGGCGACATGGGCGGTCGCCTAGGGCGCCAGATCTGGAGGGCGCTCATCCTAATTTTCGACCTTGATGTAACAAAATTCATAATTAAGTAAATGTAACACCCTTTTCACCCCGGTTGCACTTTTCATTTGCCCTGTACGATGGGCGCTGTAAGTGATGAAAATGGGGGATGTTGGCTTATCAGGCGCCCGCAGCTCACAGCCAAAGTGCGAGCGTGGGAGCGAGAGAGCGAGCGAGGGAGAGAGAGAGAGAGAGGGCGCACCGGTACCGGCGCTGTTGTTATTCGAATCTGGTGCTAGCTGCGCTAACGGATATAAGAAGTAGATGTTTTTACAACCAGGGTGGAGGAGAGCTCTCCTGTCAGACTGAGAGGCTCAGTGAGGTAAAGGACTCTCTCGGTGTTTAGATTATTAGGTTATTGGTTATGTTCACATACTTATTTGATTATTAAAATGTAAACCGATCTTTTTCATATGGGGGTTTTAGAGTTGTACCCCCTAGATCAGGTCTCTAGTAATTGTGTGCTCAAAGTGCACCAGATTGAAGCATTTTACTTTAAAATGTTCAAAAAAATACCCCCGGACCCCCCTAGAGGATGTGATGTCCACCCCCCCAATTCAAACATGCTCATACAATACTGAATACATTTGAAGCCATTTTGACGTCTATTACCTATGTCGCTAAGTTTCTGTTTTTGTAGTGTATGTCTTTTGTAGAGATTTTTCATTTATTCCTTATATATAAAATCTCGCCTTGGGCAACAAATTGGCTAGAACCGGCCCTGTTACTAGGCCTCAAGAGCCTTTCTTGTGCTGGCAGACACATAGAAACAAATTGGCGGGGCGCACTTCGGACACACTAAAAAATTCCATGCGCTCCGCGCTCACATTATGCTGGACCCACGTGGCTTAACACCGCTGCTACGACTCCATCCTAGGGGAAACACTGAAGCCTTACACTTACACTGTAAGGATTATAAACATGTATTGTGTTTATGGGATGACATTCGGAGATGTTTAAACACAATGAGAAAGCGTTAGCATACATGCTAGCATTAGCCATACTAGCCTGTATACATGCTTATTGCACAGCTAGCATTAGCTATATTTACCTTGTTTACACTTAGTGGTCCTATCATTGACGTAAGGTGGGGTTCATGGCTGGTGAGGCACTGACTCTTTCAGAGTCAGATTTACAAATATTATATTTTGACCTTAATCGAAATATTCTGCTATTTTCAAAAGCTTTTTTAGTCTGATGCTTCAATTCATTTTAAACAGACCGTTCAACAAAAGGATACCCAACATCTAAATATTGGATTGNTGAGAGACAAGGACGGACGAGGAGGAAACTGGTGTGTGTGTGTGTGTGTGTGTGTGTGTGTGTGTGTGTGTGTGTGTGTGTGTGTGTGTGTGTGTGTGTGTGAGAGAGCACTATATGAATAGACCATATGTAAAAGCAGCATCCTTGCTTCTGCTGTTGGCTCTCTACTGTCTGCAAGCCAGAACAACATAATAATGCAATAGTGTGTGTGTGTGTGTGTGTGTGTGTGTGTGTGTGTGTGTGTGTGTGTATGAATAAGTGTTGAAAAGTGTGTGTGAGTCAAGGCCCTGATTAATCTTGCCTTCCCCTTCAGCATTACGAGGGGAGAACGGACAGAGGGCGATCCACTCCTCAATCTCTCTCTCTCTCTCTCTCTCTCTCTTTCTCTC